CTCAAATGAATCATTATCTTGATGAGGACCATATTTGGACAATCTAAGTTATTTATGATACATAGTCCCGATTTTGCTCTTTATTCCTAAAAATTATCTTACTGTTTTTATCCCAGATTAGCTGAGGTGAGATAGTGTTCACGACGACGATGCTGTCGTGGAGCGTGATTGACTTCGGTAAGGGCATGGGTCTGCGATTTGAGGAAGAAAACGACTGAGGACAGAGGTTGGCCGAGCGCTGATAGTGCCGACGAACAATGAGGAACTTGGAAATGATGTTTGGGCAGCGGTCGACCAGAGAAGGTTAAGGAGGTAGCGGAGGTGACCCACGTCGGCGACGAGGACGCCGGAGAGATTGAGCCCAGAAAGGTTCTTATCGGATTCGGTTTTAATTTTGAGAAGCAGTACCATGCCTCTTTTTCCTATGGTGCAAACTTGGAATTAAGGAATTTATAGCAATCTTCCTGCTATTAAACCGTCGTTGCTTGCCGGTTTTAATGGACATTCCCCTCTCCGCTGCAGTAACGATGAAAAAGAAGAAGGGCCAATTTCACAAAATATATATTTTATATATATATATATTATAAAATGTGTTGCTAAGGGCATTTTAGTCCAAGTTTTATAAATTGGACCAATTTGCACAAATGTCATAGTTTAGGGGTGTTTTTTTGCACTAGAGAGGTGTAATATGCACTATATGCATACTATAGGGGTGTTTTTTGCACTTGACCCAACATAAATTACCTATTTTCATTATTGGTTCTATTGGGTGCTAAATTCTGAGATGGCAATACTTGATTTGTGAAGCTATGCTTAATTTAAAATTAGATACTAGGAAACTTTCATAAGGTTTCACCCATTTATTTGTCATTGGATTATTGGGGTTAACTCGATTTTGTTTAGGAATTTTATAATTTCTTTTCGGTAGATTCGGACCATTTGCTGATTTGATTTGTAGTTAGGTTAGCTTAGGTCAAGATGTGAAACTATAAACCTTTAATTTTGGAATTGTTGATGAGTTTCTGAAAATTTATTTCTGAAAAAAGCAGTTGCAATTGTGGTTCCGGTTTGCTGCACTCTGTTGTTACATTATAAATTTATAATCCACTTATTGGATCAGTTAATAAATTTTGGTTGTTTGATTCTTGTTTGCCTACCACCATTATCATTGCCACCACTACCGCCATCACCATCACCTTCCACCACCACCACCACCACCTCCACTGCCTTTCACCACCGTCATTGCTGCCACCACCACTACTGCCACCTTCCACCACTACTCCCACCTTCCACCACCACCACCACTGTCATGGGCACCACTATCGTCTTCCACCTCCACTGCCTTCCACCACCGTCATTGCCACCACCACCACCACCACCGCCTTCCACCACCGTCTTCTACCACCGTCATTGGCACCACCACCATCACCATTATCACCACCATTGCCGCCACCTTCCACTTACGCCTTGCCACCGGCTTCCTCCACCATTACCACCGCTTCCAACACCATCACCTACATCACTGCCGCCTTCCACTTCCACCACCATTCACTGCCACCACCATTTCTTTTTAGAAAATTAAAAAAGAATGTTATTTTGTTAATTTAATTTATTTGTCATTGAGAGGTGCATTTTGGATAGCCGAATTTAAAATTTATTCCATTCTAGGTTTTAAATTGGTTCAACCAAACACTCAAATGATTATTATCATTCAATTTTTATAACACTTCATATTTGCAATTAAACAATAAAATGAGAATAATCATTCCATTCTATTCCTATTCTCATTCCATTCCCATTTGCATTTCACTCCATTCCTGCATACCAAATGCAACATTAGGGTTTTCGACACTTTAGCATCATATTTAACTTCTGGACAAAAAAAAAAACATTTCACATTCTCATTGGAACCTTAGGCTTGATCTTGAGATACATCAATTTATCCAATTGGTATAATAAGGACATAACAACACTCAAAAGACTCAAGCATAACATTCTTTTAGATTAAATAAGCATGCTAAAGTGATGGCTAAAATTGATTTGTCATGCTACCACAAAACAATTCTTAAATATAGGCATAAATACAACTTATGGACCTCATTGTACAACTTGACTTCAAAACCTGCTTTGGGTTTTAATGCCATAGTGCAGATGATTAGCTTCATTTGGAACTCTAACTGTGAAGCAAGATAGAGACATGCACAAAAATATGGTGAAAATAATCAATATCGAAGCTGCATTGGGTCACTTTTTAAATGTGCCTCATTAGTCCATAGCTAGGCAGTAATAAGAAGCAGCCGGAAACAACTTTGTCTCAAATATTCATGTTCATAGTAACTCTATCTTCCCCGGGCCCCTCTCGGTCTCTCTGTATGCCAAATTCATCCAATTAACAACATTGCAAAGATAGGAACACACGCCCCACCCTCTTTGCAATAATATCAATCATTTCTTCATTTCATAACATTCCCCAGTGAACTATGGTAAACAGAACTACATGATTTTCATAATGATCATGTATGTATGTAGCTGCAGACTACTATCATAGTGACTTTAAACAAGCTTCAATTATTAGTATTATTTAGAAAAACAAACAGAGAATCTCCCACAGGAGATGGAATAACAGACCACTCAAAGATAGATAACTTAGATAGAATAGCATGCTGGCCGCTCCTGGAAACAACTCAAGAAGAAGCAGCACACTTTTAAAGCAAACTTTAGCATCATCCAAGGTTAAATCCCACAGAACGATTAATCTTACCGCTTCTCAAAATATGAAAATATAGAGTTCCATTATTACGTATATTCCAACTCTGAACAAAAGTAGATAAAATACTCAAAGCTATTGCCAAATTAAATACTTGGAGCACGAAAAGGACATGAAGTTCTCAACAACTGGTGTACAGAACACGAATTGGCTAATGTTGAATCCTTTAATTCCAATGCAATACCTTCTTTCCACAACTTTCGTTCCTGAGACAATGTCATTTTCATAGTCATATTCCAAGTATATTAAGATGTTAAGGTTGAGGAAATAAACTAAAAGACATATACTTGGAGAAAGTTAAATATATATCCTATTAGGTTTAATGGGCAATCAAGACGACACTCCAACATCATTTTTCATTAAGCATGTGTTTAGTTATGCAGAATTGAAATTGCATTCGAACTGCAATTTCATTGAATTGGAGTTCAACAATGTAATCCCAAATTCATCGTTTAAATCAACTTTGGAATTGATTTGTTATTGAATTCCAATTCTAATTTTAATATATTTTGATAAACTTACCATTCATTTGCTATTGAAACTGAAAACAATCAATATCATATAAATGATGTGCAAACATATACACGTATGCATATAAATAAATTAACACATATATACACACACATACTAACCTGGTCATGTGACTATTTCTATGTTGTTCTGTTCTCTCACTATAGGTAATATCCTTCCCAATTACCATCTTTTAAAGCTCCAATCCAAACTTTGGGAATGTGTTCTATTTTCCAGTAATCCACACCTTGTTTGTGAGGATCCAATGCCATAATCAGTTTCTCGGGCATATCATATAGGCGAAGGAATTTAAGGTTGGTTAGATGTTCAATACTCGAGAGCACTTCCAATTCACAGCTAGTAATATATAGTGATTGAAGAAGTGGCATTGAGCCTTCTTCCACATTGACACACCTCAATTCTTGTAAGCTTATGAGCCACAATATCTTTATCTTCTGAAACCTTCTAGTCTTGAAACATAATTCCCTCCCTTCATAAGCCTAATGAAGTTCAAGCTCTACCAAGTTGGGCAAATATTGAAGTGATTCTAAAGGATCATTCGTTAATTTGCTCCAACCTAAACATAGTCTCGTTAGGCTATGAAGAGAAGTTATCCAGTGTGGTAACTTCTCTAAACGTCCCTCTAAATTGAATCGTTGAAGAAATTGAGGAGGCGAAGACAAAGATTGAATATCAATGATCTCATCCTCTTCTACTGAACCTATATTGAACGAGCGAAGGTTGCTCAGCTTTTCAATAGAGGAGCACAAAGCCATCCCATCTTGTCTTCTCAACTTTGTAATACATAATTTCCTCAGATGGGTCAGCCTCCATAGCTCTCCTACTACAATTCTACTATTATCATGGTTCACTTTAATAGAACAAACTTTTTGTAAGGAAGGTAAACCTTCTATTCCCACAATCATTTTAAAACCAAGTATCCCGTGGAAAAGTTAATAAGCTTCATAAGTGTAGCGATACACCAAGAGATGACGAAGTCGTTGGAGCTTTAGGATCTAAACAGGAAACTCCGTTACATAGGTGTCCTTAGGATCCAACGTTTCAAGGTTCTCAAGTTCTCCAATGGAGTTGGTAAGAGTTCTGATCTTTGTTCTTATTAAATACAAAAGATAGAACTCTGTATTGTATTTAACATGGTATCAGAGTTTTCGATCTCTAGTAAACAATCTACCAGTTTATCATAGTCATCGCCAGAGATGGCACCATTAGCCCCATCCTCGGCGGCGGCGGTCAACCAACACGCTTCCGCACTCTATTATCTTCATAAAGATCTTCATATGCCTCGTCCAGGGAAGCCTCGTTATCTAAGTCTTCCTTTGGGAAACCCAACGAGATGCCTTGTTTAGAGAAGCCCCGCCTAGGGAAGCCTCGTTGTTTAACGATGTCTCGTTCATAGATGCTCAACGTATCGGATCAGCTCCGTCACGGCACCACCATGCGCCTCAAGTGGTAATCCCACTCTTCCATGCGCTTTCACGTGCACCAGTGGTAATCCCACACCTCAACGTGTCGAATCAGTTCCAACACCGTGCCATTACGCACCATCAGTAGTCATTATGCGCTCACATGTGCCTTTAACGTGGTGAATCTTCACAAATTTATCACCCATCAGTTTATAATAGTTACCATAGGGGTTGGCAACATTAAACTATTCACGCTCCGCATCTACCTCCAAGATCTTCACAGATCCACCCTACGTCACCTAACATGTGAACATTGGTGCAACGTCAGACACATTCTGCAATGGTGCTAGTAGTTGTGCCATGTCACCTACCACGTCAGTTCTCTTCAAGCTTAAATACCGTAGATGAAATAATTTGGCTACTTCATTTGGAACTGTCTCTAAAGAAGCACCTCTCTGGTCCAAAACCTTTAACAACATCAAACCACCATTGAATAATATAGGCATTGATGACTTAGATAGAGGCTCTGCCACTTTGAACATTAGCAACAATCGAAGTTGAGAAAAATGATTTGTTTGCTGCAAGTTTCCCAAGGTATAGTGGATTGATAGGCGGCGAACTTTTTTCGGCCACCTTGTGTTTTCTTCACTAACGATCGCTGCAATGCTTTGTTCTATTGACTTTGAAATAATAATCTCACGAAAAAGGTCATGGATGCGGGACCTTCTAAGCCTTTCATCGTAACATATCATTGCCACTTGGACCAAGCTTCTATTAACAAGCTCATTAAGGTAGCCTTCAGCAACTTCTTCTGAAGTCATCCCTTCTTTCGCTTCCACAAATCCTTCCGCAGTCCATAGCCGAATCAATTTCATTATCTTAATATGATAATCCTCTGGTAATATGCTGAAGTATAAGAAACAAATTTTAAGATAATAAGGCAAATCATTGTAACTGAAAGAGAGTATTTCGCACTCTCAAGTTTATCTCTTCCTTCCAATTCTGCAACAAGGCTGCACATAACCATTTCCCATTCATCCATTCTATTCTTGTCTTTGGTAGCCAAAACACCACTAATTGCCACCATTTCAAGGGGCAAGCCCATACATTTTTCCAAGATACTTTGTGAGAGTTCCTCTAAATGTGGAGGGCAGTATTTCTCTTGGAAGGTCTTCCAACAAAATAGAATCCAAGACTCTTTTGGCGACAATGCCTTCACAGCATGGATGTTACCATGGGATTCTACGCTAGAGGTTGAAGCTACACTACCAATGCGTGTTATGAGCAGTATTCGACTGCCATAATTGTTATCAGGCAATGCATATTTTAAGGCATCCCATGCATTTATACTCCACACATCATTGAGAACAATCACGTACCTTCTTTGTTGGAGGAAGTCCTTGAGTTGTGCCTTCAGGTTATTGTTGTCTATGGCTTCCAATCTTTGAGGATCCGGTTTCCTGACTTCATCAAAGAGATGTCAAATTAAATCTCTGAGATTAAAGGATTGAGAAACAGTGATCTAAGCATGGATTTGAAACTGATTCGTCCCCCCATTCCCACCACCGAAACAACTTTGAGTATTAGGGTGTCCTTCATAAGCCACCTAATCAGCTGCTTCTTGGGCCCATCAATGGCCACAAGCTCAGCTTCTTCGAGTAGAAGTGCATCACCTCGATGATCATACCATGTGATGTTGACTGTGTTGGAGCTTGAGCTGTGCTCTGAGATGTTGAATTTGTAACGGTATCTCTGATGTCCCTCAGCATCTTCTCTTATTCCTCCCAAGAGTTTTGACTCTTGTTGAAGGAAGATGGTTAGGTGATTGAGTAGGAAGGTTACTGCACTCTCAGCCATTCTCTCTTGAATTTTATCAGTAAGCCTTTGGGTGGAGGGAATGCCAATGACTTTTGAATAAAGCAAAAACATATTTGAATCTGGTGAATTTAATTCTGCCGACAACCTAAAACTACATATTATAACTGCATAATCGCTGCCTCAATGTGTAACTTCCGTTCTGGGATGTACCAAGAGTTTCTTTATAAATTTATTCCTTCCTTCGGAACAACATATTTAAAGATTCTCCAAATACACCCGCGAGGGAGAGTACCCCATTTCCTCATCCCTAAAATATCATAAATTCCTTTACATACACACACACACACACACACATATATGTAAATATCTTCCAATGGTCCTATGGACGGACCCCACCCTTGCTATTATTTCAAGCATGTAACTAACTGTTGCCTACAATGACACTTGGATGAGACTCACCCGCGTACCTTCGCGGGTGAGAGTCATCCTCACTTCCTCTCTCTCTCTTTCTATATATATATATAAATATCTTCCAATGGTCCTATGGACGGATTCCTCCCTTACTATTATTTCAAGCAAAGTTGTCAAAATTGTGCTCCTAGATTGTAGAATTGCATGATTCTATGATCCTACCAACCCCAAACGAGTCAACTCGTATAAAAATCGCTCCCTGTGTAGAATCATATAATAGAATCACAAACAGAAGATTTTGAGATATTTTTTGTTTGGGCTTTATTTTTTTAACCTGATTCACTTTATTAAGTGTTGGGTTCTCTAAATAAGAAAGGTCCACAGTTTTTGGGCCGAAAAAAAGTCCATATAAATAAGAAAAAAACACAATTTAGCCCTAATCCCCAATTCAATTTTTTTTTTAAGCATGAAGAATTGACCCTTTAATTCTGTTATGTTCTTTACTTCTTTACATTATATGTTGTAACTATGTTTAGTTCCTTTTCTATTTTATTTGTGTTCTCTTCTTTTAAGGGAGCTGTTGGAAGTTTGGATTAGGATTTGGGATTTGTGAACTTATGTTATGGATTAGGATTCAAACCTTCATCTTCTCAAACACTTCACAACTTACAAATTGCGTAGTTATCATGAGAGCTCTACCTTTTGAGCTACATTCTCTTTTATATTATATTTGAACTTTGGAATGGTACCTTAATATATATATATATATATATATATATATATATATATATATATTGTGTGTATTTTGGCCATATTCTTGTTATATTTTACACATTATATTGTTCAAGTTAGTTTGAATTATTTTTTTCACTAGTTGGTAGAATCTTACGATTCTCGATCCGATTCTACAATTCTGATTTTACGGAGCCCAAAATGATTTTATGTAGAATTCCGATTTTAACAACCTTGATTTCAAGCATGCAACTGAATGTTACCTACAGTGACACGTGGATGAGACTCACCCAATTACCTTTGCAGGTGAGAGTCATCCGCACTTCCTCATCATAATTCATCATCCACACCCTTTTGATTGTTACTCTTTTTGTATACTGAATATAAATATTATTGTACTAAATGTACTAACTCCAAAAAGTCAAATCAGTTTAATTTGTTCCCACGTTTAACTGCTAGAGGTCATATATTGGCATCAATCAACTTTACATGTGTCCATCCTTTTCCCACTTGCCAATCCCAAAAGTTAATCTCATATATATTATAGAATATATTTTCTGAATCATGTCATAAATATATATAATAGATATATGTCTATAGTATTTTGTAGTTAATACTATATAAAAATAATAATGGAACCCCACCACGCACAAGCTGAAGGATGATCCACATCCGCAACTTATTTACAAATACTTCGTGAGAGTTCTTCTAAATGTGGAGGGCAGCTGTTGTCTTGGAATGTTTTCCTACAAAACAGAGTCCATGACTCCTCTGGAGATAGTGGCTCCATAGTGTATATGTTATATGGGATTCTATGGAAGAGATAGAAGCTACTTCACTAATACGCGTTGTGAGTAGTATTCGACTACCACAATTATTGTTGGGTAATGTATTTTAAAGCATCCCATGCATTCATACTCCACACATCATCAAGAACAAGCACATACCTTCTCGGTTGGAGGAAATCCTTGAGTTGTGCCTTCAGATTATTGTTGTCCATGGATTCCAATATTTGAGGTGCCAGCTTCTTGACTTCATTAAAGAGTTGTTGAATTAAGTCTTTGAGATCAAAGGATTATGAAACAGTGATCCAAGCATGGCTTTTAAAATGATTCTTCACCTCGATATTATCATAGACTTTCTTTATTTTTCCCATCCCCCCATTACCAGAACTAAAAAAACTTCTTGATGTGTTGCCCAAAAGCCACACAATCAGCTGCTTTTTGGGCCCATTAATGCCAAAAGCTCTGCTTCTTCCAGTAGCAGTGAATCACTGCGACGATCATACCATGTTATTGACAGTCTTGGAAATTTGTAACGGTATTTCTGATGTCACTCAGCAATTATATTCACTCTAGACCTTATTATTTGTATCTTAGAAGCAATTTGATGGTGAGCTTTCAAGTATTTAATAGAGTGAGAAAGCTTACGAAGGACACCATAGAATCTGTCCCCATGATGACGAGCAAGGCGGAGCATGAATTTGTCCAGTACATCTTTAGTGTCGTAGGTAACTTCACATTCTCTTCCATTGCATCAGCTACTCTCAAGAACACCCTCATGCGTTCCAATTCATCTCTGACGCACTCAGCTTCTTCCTTTATTCTGCCCAAGAGTTTTGACTCTTCTCGAAGGAAGATTGTCAGGTGGGCGAATACAAAAGTTAGTGCAATCTCAGCCATTTTCTCTTATCTTCTTAATTTCTCCCAGAGAAGAATAGATAAAAAATAGAATTCAATTGCCAGACTTTCCAGATGGAATTTCAGATTTTGGTACAATCAGATTGGTATGTGGTAATTATTTAGGTTGATTCCAGCTCAAAGCCGTAAAATGGGCATTGCTCCAGAAAATCTTGACAAGACATTTAAATGAAATCTGCTTTGAATTTCAAATTTTGGTTAACCGTTTTTTTTTCTTCGCATTTATTGATTTTACAATGACATTCATTATTCATCAGTAAAACTTAGGATATCTTGTCAAGACAATAACTTAGTCAACAATTTTACATCGCTTATGCAACAATTAACTCACATCGCTTAGGTAACAACTTTACATTGCTGATTCGTAACTGATATATTGTTCACGTAATCAATGTATTGTTTTGTGTAAGCAGAAGATCCAAACATAAGAGGTGATCCTTATTCATTTTTATAGAATTGTCTTTTATAATTCTCTCAAAACTATTTTATATTTTTTGAGTTCTTGAATTTTATTTATTAAGTACAACACATTTAAGTCTAGTCCTTTAGTGCATCATCAACTTTTTGGCCTTACAGTGTCCTGATATATATTAAATACCGACACAATTAAATCTAGTTCATTTTTTTTTTTTTTTTAGAGCAATTTCAAGGCCAAAATGACAATTAGTAAGAAATTTGGCAGTTAGTGGGTAGAAAGTTGGACAGGATAAGTTATTATGAGCAGCTTCAAGTTACATAATATACAGTAACTGCAATATAGATATATACACACACACATATACAAAATTGACTTTTCAAGTCTATTTAATTTGGGGTCAGACAGCCATTAGTTGGGGGATCACAATCCTTCCTCGGGCAACCTAATGAATCATACGAGCCAACATAATCTAGAGTTTATAAAGCTTGAATGGTTGAAAATAATGTTGCATTTGGTAACCCCTTGTTTTTGTGACAAAGATGGTTGAAAATAATGTTGCATTTTGAAGCACTAATTCTTTTGTAACTGAAATTAAAGAAAATTTAATTTAAATTTTGAATAAAATTTCTCTGATTTCAATTTTGAAACCCTTTACGCTTATGATGTGCTCCCTAACATAGCTTAATTAAATTTTTTACCCTAATGTGACACAGTTGGGTTGGTACAAAATTATGCATGATGGTATAACCATTGTTTGGACAATCTTGAAATGCATTTCATCATTTTGTGTCAATTCATCTTGATAGACATTAAATACTTATGGAAGATTTCTTTCTGGACGATACTTGTTTACTTCTTTTTTTTCTTTTTTTGACAGTTAATACTTATCTACTAAATCACTACAAAGAGTAAGCTATTTGCGAAGCAATTGTTTTTTAGGTTAGCGACTCGTTTGCAAGATGGTGGGAGTGAGTTTGAGGTCCGGAGCAACTCGGCTTGGTTGTGTTTGAGTTTAGCAATGTGGTTTCAGCATAAGTCTATGTCAAGTTTGATTTAATCGAGTAGACTGCTTTAATATGGATTATTAATTTTGTGGTTTTTTCTCGTTGAGATTTCTTACATATAAATCTGGTATGTTTTGGAGCAATGCTACACGGCTCGAAAATTTATGGTATGTATCTCGAATTTGAAAGACAGATATGTCTTTAATTTTAATAGATATTACACTTTTTCTTTCTTGTGAAAATATTAACGTATTTAAGTTATAGTTAAATTAAGGAACCAAATAAGTTCAAAGATGAATAATGTATATACACATTTGTACGAAGAAAAATGATAGGTCTTCTGACGTTAATTATCTACTTTTCTTACGAATATAACGTGGTTGAATCCCATTGGAACTCTTAAAAAAATTTCCGTAAATAACTCTTTCTCTTCCACTCATTCCCAACCACGTTATATTCGGAGGAGTAGTCGGCAATTGAAGTCGAAAGATCTACCGCTTCTCTTGTATGAATTATTTGTTGAAGGGGAATTGAGAACGAACATTAAATTAAGTTTCTCTCTTTAATTTTCTTTTCTCTACTTTTATCACACACATAAAACACACTCTTACGCACGCACACATATATATACACACACTCTTATGCACTCTTGGCTTTATAATTATAATAAACATGAAGATTATTGATCAATTTATCAAATTATTCACGCATGTAGATCGTTGAGGACATTAAGATTCTTATTCAAAAGAAAGATGACTCGAAATATAGTTTTAA